CTGGGGGCCCCTGCTGATGGTGTTTGTGTGGGGCCCCCCACATACGTATATGTTTGTGGCTGTGTATGAGTACTTCGTGCATGCACCAAGAAGCTTTATCGAGAGAAGAAGAGACAACAGAGAAGTTCTTTATTTTTAGCCAGCAGGGGCCCCTTATATGTCTTTTTATAATTAGGGATTCATATAGAGGGTTGGGGGCCCCAAATACCCGGCTGTATGTAGTACCCTCTAGGTCCTCATCTCTAAGAGGGGGGGCCCCCCCAGGACAGTACCCTTTTATTACCTGTATATCTCTGCCGCAGGGCACAGCAGCAGCAGCAGCAGCAGCAGCAGCAGCAGCAGCAGGAGCAGCAGCAGCAGCAGCAGCAAGAGGACCAAAAACATAATTTCTTTTTGTTGGTTTACACTTAAACACCCCCCAGTTGTATTTATTTTTTAGGCGCAAACCATCAACACGAACAAACTCAGCAGCATTTGTTTCTATGAGCCGCAGCTGCCGCTGCAGTGCTGCAGCACCACGTGTTTCTTCTGCTGCTGCTGCTCCTGCTGCTGCTGCTGCTGCTGCATCACTACCTGCTGCTGTTGCTGCTGCTGCTGCTGCTGCTGCTGCTTCTTCTTCTTCTTCTGATACGTCCAAAGACACCTGCTTACGCAGCACAAAGTATAGAGGCCTCATCATACCCCGCAGCACCACGCAGCAGCTCTGCGGCGGCGCTGCTGCCTGCTGCTGCTGCTGCTGCTGCTGCTGCTGCTGCTGTGCTGCTGCAGCCCACACCTTGCCGAACAAATAAACTGTTCCTGTTGCTGCATCGTCGAAGACATCTAATAAATAAAAAGGCAGAGACCCATCGGGGCATACGGGTAGTGTCTTTGCTGTTGCTGCTGCTGCTGCTGCTGCTGCTGCTGCTGCTGTTTGCGGCGCTGCTGCTGCTGCTGCTGCTGCTGCTGCTGCTGTGTCGTCAGCAGCAAATAACTCGTCTGGGTTTATGTCTTTACCTAAACTTATATATGCGTTGGGGTCCTCAAAGACAGAAGCAGCAGCTGCTGCAGCAGCATCATCTGCTGCTGCTGCTGCTGCTGCTGCTGCTGCTGCTGGTGTTGCTGCTGTTGCTTCTTCCTTTACTTCTTCCGCTGCAGCTGCTTCCACTGCTGCAGCTGCAGCTGCTGCTGCTGTCGTCTGCTGCTGCTGCTGCTGCTGCTGCTGCTGCTGCTGCTGCTGCTGCTGGGGGCTGCCGCTGGGGCCCAGGGCCCCCGGGAGACGGGGGGGGAGACAGTCCCCTAAACCAAACAAGCTGAAGGCGTTTGCTGCAGCAGCAACTTTGCTGCTGCTGCTGCTGCTGCTGCTGCTGCTGCTGCTGCTGTTGGGGGTTTTGGGGGGGAATGGGTCTTGCTGCTGCTCCTCGTCGTCCTCATCTAGGTTAAGAGAAGCCTCAATAGAGTTTAAACATTTTAGTTGTGCTGCTGATGCTGCTGCTGGTTTTTTTTTTGCTGCTGCTGCTGCTGCTGCTGTTGTTGTCTTTGCTGCTGCAATGCTGCTGAAGTGCTGCAGCAGAGAACGCATGCCTTGAGCTCTAACATCTGCTGCTGCTGCTGCTGCTGCTGCTGCTGCTGTTGCTGCTTCACCGCGACGAGACTTCTTCCCTCGTGCTGCTGGAGATGTCTCCTCTTCTGTCTGTCTCCTTGCTCGCCTCCGCTGCTGCTGCTGCTGCTGCTGCTGCTGCTGCTGCTGCTGCTGCTGCTGCTGCTCTCCCTCGCTGCTGCCCTCGTCCCCCCACCACTCGTCCCCATCGTCGCTGTATCCATCAGCTGCAGATACACTCAAATAAATAAATAAAATAAATAAATAAAATAAATAAATAAAATAAATAAATATATTAAATAAATAGAATAGATAAAATAAATAAAATAAATAAAAGTTTAAAATACACTAATTATATAGATGTAATGAGAGGATTAGATACGATAATAAAGAAAATAAAACACACAAGAAGGAGACAAAAAGAAGAAAAAAAGGAGACAGCAAAAGGAGACAAAAAAAACACAAAAAGGAGACAACAAAAGGAGACAAAAGAAGACAAAAGGAGACAACAAAAGGAGATAAAAAGGGGACAAAAGGAGACAACAAAAGGAGACAAAAAAAGGAGACAAAGGAGACAAAAAAAGGAGACAAAGGAGACAACAAAAGGAGACAAAAGGAGACAAAAGGAGACAACAGAAGGAGACAAAAAAAGGCACAAAAAGGAGACAAAAGGCGACAAAAAGGAGAGAAAAAGGAGACAAAAAGGAGACAAAGAAGACACAAAAAAGACACAAAAAGGAGACAACAAAAGGAGACAAAAGGAGACAACAAAAGGAGACAAAGAAAGACAACAAAAGGAGACAACAGAAAGAGACAAAAAGGAGACAAAAGGAGACAGAAAGGAGACAAAAGGAGACAGTAGTTGGGGTGTACAGTCAGCTCGCTCAATCCAATTTTCTGCTTTTCTTTGTTCCTTTAGTTTCGCGTATTCTTCCGCGGAGACAGTCTGAAATATTGACGCATTTTCGTCTATCACCTAACAAAAAGAGACAAAAGGAGACAAAAGGAGACAAAAAGGAGATACAAAGGAAATAAAAAGGAGACAGAAGGAGAGAGAAGGAGAGAGAAGGAGAGAGAAGAGAGAAAAGGAGACAGAAAGAGACAAAAAAAGAGACAAAAAGGAGACAAAAGGAGACAGAGACAGTCTGAAATATTGACGCATTTTCGTCTATCACCTAAAAAAAAGAGACAAAAGGAGACAAAAGGAGACAAAAAGGAGATATAAAGGAGAGAGAAGGAGAGAGAAGAGAGAAAAGGAGACAGAAAGAGACAAAAAGGAGACAAAAAGGAGACAAAAGGAGACAGAGACAGTCTGAAATATTGACGCATTTTCGTCTATCACCTAAAAAAAAGAGACAAAAGGAGACAAAAGGAGACGAAAGGAGACAAAAGGAAACAAAAAGGAGACAAAAGGAGACAAAAGGAGATATAAAGGAGATATAAAGGAAATAAAAAGGAGATAGAGGGAGAGAGAAGGGGAGAGAGGAGAGAAAAGGAGACAGAAAGAGAGAAAAAGGAGACAAAAGGAGACAAAAGGAGACAAAAGGAGACAAAAGGAGATATAAAGGAAATAAAAAGGAGACAAAAGGAGACAAAAGGAGACAAAAAAAAGAAAAGGATATACAAAGGAGACAGAAGGAGACAGAAGGAGAGAGAAGAGAAAAGGAGACAGAAAGAGACAAAAAGGAGACAAAAGGAGACAGAGACAGTCTATACAGGTACTTGCATCAATCACCTAAACAAAAAAAATGCTGCTGCTGCTGCTGCTGCTGTTGCTGCTGCTGCTGTTGCTGCCGTTGCTGCTACTTCTGCTGCTGCTGCTGCTGCTTCTCCTGCTGCTGCTGCTGCTGCTGCTGCTGCTACTTCTTTTATTAATACAGCTACAATACAGAAGCCCCGATAAGAAGGGCGGGTACGCGACGCAGTAAACCCTAAACCCTAAACCCTAAACTCTAAACCCTAAACCCTAAACCCTAAACCCTAAACCCTAAACCCTTGTGGTTGTTACCTCATATTGCTCTGTTGCTTTTGCTTCTCCTCTTCGTTGTCTGCGTATTTTCTCCAGGGCAGACAAAGCCCCGCTCTTAGAAGACGCCATTGCTGCTGCTGCTGCTGCTGCTGCTGCTGCTGCTGCTGCTGCTGCTGCTGCTGGTGTCGCTGCAGGTGTTGTTGGTCCTGTAGCAGCTGCTGCTGCTGATGCTGCTACTGCTGCTGCTGTTGCTGCTGCTGCTGCTGCTGCTGCTGCAGCAGCAGCAAATCCAGGGGCCCTGTGGAGGGCCTCGCTGCTGCAGCAGGAGCAGCAGAAGACCCACTAAAGAAGAGAAAAAGAAAAGGAAATGTAGGGGTTTACGCGGTACATAGAAAAAACAAATAAATAAAATAAATAAAATAAAAAATAAATTGTTTATTTCTTTTGTTTTATTCCTTAGAGCTGCCTATACACCCCAAATATAAACACAAAACCACCACAGGGGGGTGTTTATGCAGCAGGGGGGCTTGGGGTTGCTGCTGCTGCTGCTGCTGCTGCTGCTGCTGCTGCTGCTGCTGCGGGTTTGTTTGTGGTTATTATATTAAAATAAATAAAAATAAATAAATATAAAATAAAAATAAAATAAAAATAAATAAATAAATTATTTTTATTTCTTCTCTGCTGCAGCAGCAGCAGCAGCAGCAGCAGCTATGCTGCATCGAGGCGCCGCTGTGCTGTAGCAGCAATTTATATATTTTTGTATATTTTTTATTGTTATTTATTTTTATTTATTTTGTTTTTGTTTTTATTTATTTTTATTTATTTTTATTTTGTTTTATTTGAATTTGTTTGCTGTTTCTGTTTCCTTATAGACAAAGAGAAGGCTGTATATAT